CCTCGTTAACTCGAGATTCTCTGCCGTCGGATCTACCATTGGACCTCTAAATTTGTAAGCAAAGCATATAAAACCATGTGTTGCAAAAAATGCCGACAACACACACCTGATTTGGTTGTCTTTGATGCCTATCCTGTCTCTAATCACGAATCCAAAGTTCTGATACCAATTGTTATGTGAAACAATGCAAAATCGTAGAAATTCATACAACAACAATTAAACACAAATGATTTACGTTTCCGCGTGAAGTTAGTTCGCCTGTGCTCATAGAGATGAAGATTTCATTAGTATTAGATGAAAGAAAGAAAGAAAAAAAAAAACTATAAAGTCCCTTTTTTAAAAAATGAGCATACATTTAAATAAAGTCAAAAGATTAAATTATCCCTAATCACAACAAATCAATAAATTCAACACTAGGACGACTATATCTGATTAAAATTGATTCGCTTTGACTGGTTATTGGTGGGCTGAGTGCATATTAATAACATTTATTTATTTATTTATTTATTTTTTTGAAAATCAAATTAATAACATCCTGTGGCTCGAACATGTAGGTCGACTTGTATATGTTCGTGCGTTGGAGTGAACCGAATTATATTATATTTGAAATCAAATACTTTTGTTTTTATGTAAATTCAAGTTGGCTTAAAAGCAATTTTTTTTTTTGAGTAAAATCTACTAATTTTATAAAATACTTTAATCATTAACTAAGAGTAGTGATATTATTAAAATTGTTGACACGAATCTCAAAGAAAACAAACGGTCGATGGGCTTAGGGCTTCACTTCGAGGTAAGCGATTGACTGGCCATTCAGTGTCAAGCATGAGAGACCGCGTCTCTAAACCCAGGATATGTAAAAGATATGGAGATGTTTTCCTGCTCGATAAAGGCAAGATCCGCCAAAAGTGAAGCTCAGATCGTCTCGACAGTGAATCTCATCAGAAAACCCGCATAGGAAGCGACAAGATTTGCCCAAGGCCTTGTGAAAGAGAATTTCCAGCCGAGACGACAAACCGATTTGTCAGACGAAAATGCGGGCCTTGTAAGACTAGAGCCAAACAACAAACGAGCCACGTCTCACCCATTGAAACAAATCAACCGGTCAACCAATCGACCGACTAGGGCGCAGGCGAGAATCCTCAATCACGGCTAATGGATCGACCTACTTTTCGCCATGAAGAACAAGAACAACACCCGACTGAATGTCTCGGTCAACAAACACAAGCCAATGTCAACACTCAACTGATCATCTAAACTCGCTGAAGTTAAGCAAGTCGACCGGTCAACTACCGGCATGTTAAAGTTCAAACTGTAATAAAGATATTATATAATATTCATATAATTAATCAGAGTATTAGTTATTTTAAGAATGATTTCCATGTTAGAATTCAAACTGTAATACATATATGATATAAAATCCATATAATTAATGAGAGTGTTAATTACATTAAGAACAATTTTCATAACTATTCTCCCACTTATGTAATTATACAAAATACATTCATATATATAAGAGACAAAAAGAAGACAAAAGGGAGGCAGACTTTCCCCCATGTTTTCATAACTCTCTAAGCGTGTTCACAAAAAGACAATAAAAAATTCTAGTGTGTAACGAAAGGTGGCCTTAATGAAAAGGTATATATATATATATATATAGTGTGTAACGAAAGGTGGCCTTAATGAAAAGGTATATATATATATATATATAGTGTGTAACGAAAGGTGGCCTTAATGAAAAGGGGGAAGTTTTGAATAGTTTAAATGTAATAGAGGGAAAACTTGATTCATTATTTTAGACACTCATACTCCTTTATTGGGACTATTGCGCAAGGTTAACTTCAGATAACTCAAGCAAATTAAGCAAACAGCTTATTAATACACACTAAGAAAATCATTAATGGATGCTAATCATAAACGTAGAAAACTATGTCCTCACAACTAACAACCATTTCTTAAGGTCAAACTTCTCAAAGCAATTCAATAAATGCTGCTACCATTCATTTAATCACAATTTCTTAAATTAATCTGTCTATTGTTCTAGCCTAAAAATGAGGTCACAAGAGATAAACTTGCTTGCTAAACACTTTTAAGAACTCAGTTTTTGTTTTGACTTAGCCTTTGGTTGAGACATATGCATATATATCTACATACATACATACATACATGCCTACATACATATAAGCCATAGATATGTTTTTTTGGTGAATTCTGGCTTTTGGGTGGTGAATGAACCAATGCGACTCATTGAACAACTAAAACTCGTCTTAATTGATAATCAATTCAGTTTAATCAAATTTGTAAATAAATAAATGTTTTTTAAGAACTCAAAAGTTAAATGAGTCAAGCTTAAACATGATTCAAATTCTTTATTTATGTTCATTAATCAATATGTTTGTTGTTTAATCATAAACTTATTATATAAGCTTGATGATAGCTCATATACTATATAATATATTATTTAAATAAGTTTTGACTAATTATTTTTTTAACCTTTTTATTTTTATTAAATTAAATTATTTTTCAATTGTGATTATAAAAATTAATTTAATGTGATTCCTTCTTATTTTTTTATGTCAATGAACTAGTTTATTAGTAATTAGTTATGTTATTTGAAAACAAAAATTTTCTTTCAATTTATAAATTATCATATAACTAGACACTAACTCAAAATTTATTAAATTGCTTGTTTATTTAAAATTTTAAAATTATTTGTAAATGTCTATATGAAAAGCTAGCAATTTATTTAAAGTCTTAGTATGTTGACTAATTTGTAAAATAACCTGTTCAAACAAGCCAAGTAAGAATATGTATATAAATGCTCAGCTTTGGTCAAGCCAAAGATAAACAACTTATAATATGACCAAACTAAGTCTAATGCATGACATACTCGACTAAAAAGCTTGAATACAACCATATGCATACTTAAGAAGATGTGTTTTGAGGAGGTAAATATAATAAAAATAAAATTATGTGAATTTGGACATGCTTCAGTCCTAAACCATTTGGAATGGGTAAGTGTAATCCAAAACAAATAGACTCAGATTAGCCAAGAAGGTTAGACCCACCCCTCCCTCACACCAATGCATGAATCCCAAGGAATGTGTGCTTTCCTATAGTACTAATAACATCTAGCAAGTCAATCAAACAGTCACAAGCACGCTTGAATTCCTCTCTTTGAAAGATTCTTCATCCTCCCTTTCGTCACAGAAAGAGCCCCAAGTTATGCACACAATTTTTCAAAGGACTTTTAAAGATAAATTTTTTTTTAAGACATTATGAGCTCTACAAGTGATGAAATTGCGAGTAATCTATTATATTGGATTGCTCTTATGAAGGATAATATTTCCATTTTTTAAAAATTTTTTCTCATGCATAAATTTCTTCCCTGCACTTTCTTAAAAACTTGTGTTTATCACAACCATCTAATTGATGAATCATACAATAGCTTAGTTTGCTCTCATTGAGACAAATAAATCCATTCTAAATATGTGCTCACAAGTTATTCATTATCATCTTCTAAAGATAGGAACATCTAATGCCCTCTAATGTTTGTTTGGGACAACTTTTTCTATGCTTTGTGTTTCAAATCATCACCTTAGTTCTATTTGAAGAACAACTTTCTAGATATTTCCATAATATGAAATTATCTTTTTCAAACTGACCTATTAAATTGCAGTGATCGTTAAAAACTATAGTCTGATTTTTTGATATATATATATATATATATATATATGCTCTTAGGTCAAAACTTTCAATGAAATACAAGTTGTTTTTATTGGGCTACATATTTATATTGATTTTAAAAAGCATTTTAAGTCATATTTCAAGTCTTCTTGATCTCAAATCTTTCCATTCAACATAAGAGAACAAAAGGTTGATAAACTAAAAATTTTTGTAAGAATTATAGCCATATGAACTAAAATGAATAAAAAATTAATTACATAATAATACTTTGAAAGGTTTTATAAACTCCTGCCATTCATTCTTTTATAAAACTAAAATTTACATTATTTTCCCTAAATTTACTCACCTACCCAAACCACTCCTACCAACTTGTCCACTACATTGCAACCGAAGAGATTAGTTACCTTCCTTGTATCCCTAACTCCTTAAAAGCATTGCATATTCACATACATGTTGGGGGCAGTTACAAATATAGCACTAGAAATATTGCTATTTATAAATCTAACCTTAACTTTTATCTATTTTTTAAATTATCGCTTAAATATCAAAATTCTAACAAAAAACTTAACATATATTTTTCATTTTTATCAAATTCAAAATAATTTAATTGTGTTTGTATAAATGTATCGATTCCATAATTCAAAAAAAAATATTTGATTGCTAGTTTGATAGATATTTGCATATAAAGCACCCGGAATATTAATATTTACAAAACCACCCAATTAGTTATTTAAAGCCATTGAGAATTGATAAAAATGAAAAATATGAGTCGTGATTTCTCGTGAATTATGATATTTAAGCAAGAATTTATAAAATTGATGAAAAATAGTGCTTGATATGTAAATAGCAATGTTTTGGGTGCTAGACTTAAATTTTTATTTTTAATATTTATTTGTTAAATTTTATGACATCATAAATTTTTATAAGGCCAATTAGCTAAGAAAATTGGTGAACTTTTATGATTTTCTTTTACATAAAAAATTAAAATATCATGATAATTTTTAATAAATTCATCTCAAATGCACATTTAGGATGCGTTTGGGGCAGCTTGTGCGTATCATTATAACTTGCTTATTCTGAAACGCAGCCCGCGGGCTGGCTGCAAAGTTCGGCCCACGACCTATGTATAGTGTAAAAACCCAAAAACGACTTTGGATAAGCTGACGAAATACACGAATCAAACAAAACAATGACGTTTGGAAAACGCTACCCACACTTCTGCCCCTATAAAGGATTTTCTTTTAATTCTATTTTGAAGTCATTGCGCGAGCTGTAACATTGGCGAGATTAACAATACAATAAAAGCAGACGAAATTGAGAAATAAAAAATAGAAGAGGATTCTGCGGCACGATATATTGACCGAGTTCACTGCCACCACTGGAAAAAAAACTGAAACCCTTAAAGGGGGAGACTGATCGGAGAAGACGACTTCTATAGATCGGTAAATGGAATTGCGGAAGTCGGAGGAGGAGGAGGGGATCGAGAGCGATAGGCCTGTGCGGGTTTACGCCGACGGTATATACGATCTCTTCCATTTCGGCCATGCACGATCCCTCGAGCAGGCTAAGAAGTTGTGAGCCCCTTTCACTCGTTTGATTCTCTTGCTCTCTTTGATTCTGGATTGATTGCTATAAGGGTTTTGTTGATTGATGTGATTATTTGCTGATTGGTTTGGGCATCATTGATTTCGCTTGTTTGTGTTTCTGTGGGATCTGTGGATTTTTTTGCATTGTGAGGCATTTATGGGCATGGATTTGTATTTTTATTTAAATAATTAATGGAATGTTTTTTTTTTTTAATATTTTCTAATGTAAATTGTTCTATGTTTCAACTCTTTCAATTCTAAATTTCCAAACGGTAGAGAAAATAGGTCAAAAGGAAGAAAGCAAGGTATTTAACAAATTGTTTGATGTAAAGTGGTAGTTTACGCAAACCATACTGATATGTCCCACAGCGTATGAAGAATGGAAATGAGCATTACTTGAGCATTTTGATTGAGCAATAAAGGATGACCCCGAATTGAACAGCATGCTATCAAAATGCTATTGATTTATTGCAGGAAGGTAAATGGGCGTCATAAACAAAATATTATAAAGCTTGTTCATTTATTTATTGTGCTTTATAATTTTATTCAAGAGTGACTAAGTAAATGGAGGTGGTGAGCCACAATTGAGTGAAATACCAAGAATATAATGATATGCTTAAACCTGCATGATGTAGCCATAGCCACCCTGCCTCCACGCTCGGACCAGCTTTGCCATCTCTGTGACACTCTGCTTTTTTTTGGGGTTATACAACTTTTAGTATTATTATGTACCTTTTATCTTCATATAGTTTATTGTTTTTTCTTCTAGGTAATGACATGTATCCACCTGAGATTAGAAGGAAGGGTGTTGTATATTATTATTTTTCCTTGAAAAGAGTCCATGTTTTACCCATGCTTTGCCTCTTTAAGTACTGGATTTGCACATGCCATTCTTTCTCATCCTCACCCAACTTTCTTCTTCATCAGTTGGTATCAAAGGCTGAAGTTTCTGCATATTGTCCAACAAAGGCGTAGATGGCCACTGCAACATAGATGCAGATGTTAGTGTGCACGCTTTTTGGGCATCTTTCATAACATGATAGAGAAAATTCAATGTCATTTCCTTAGAAGTGCAGAAAATCCTTGATCCTATGAGTGAAAAAAAGTATTACTATTTAACCTCCTGAAGAGGCTACATACATTTCCCAACCAAAACTTCTACCAAAATTTTGCCTTGATTGTGAGCTCTTTATTAGGCATCGACCCCACAAACTCACGAGCTGCGTAGCGATCTTTTCACTTTGTAAATTTGCATTCAACGTTGATCCTATGATGTCCTCACCTCGTGATCTTGCATCCCCACATCAACCTTGTGATTTTATGCCCTCGTGAATTCTCTTTCTCGTGACTATATTGCCTTGGAATCTCGTGTCTTAGTGTCTCATACACGTGATCGTTGGCTCCCCTTTTCCCGATTTCGATGCTAACCCCTTCAACACCATTAGTTGTGCCGGCATCCTGTCCGCATCGCAAACTCTAAGTCAAATTTACACACTCTTAGAAATACCCAAATTACCCATGTCCACGGCCGCCCATACTATTGATGTTCTTCATGAATAATTGGTTACTTGCATTGATCCAACTCTATCTCCTAACTGAGTTAAAATGACCATGGGCTACCTTCCAACATGTCTTGAGACTCTTTATTGGTTTGTTAAAGTTATGGACCATTCAGGATTCTTTAGAGCTTTCAATCAGGAGAAACAACTCCTTTTAAAATAGCAAAGGGACTTTTAGCTTCTCCTTAGGAGTCCTCTGCTTTTCATCTTAAAATGGAATTTTTTAGTAACTATGGTGCTAAAGAAATTCTAAAGCAGAACACAGAATAATCGCGTAGATATGAAGAGGAACTCTTATATCAGTACTGGATGGAGTTCTACGAGTTATTAAAGATGAAATTGATTGCAGAACAGTTGAAGATGTGTTTAGTTTTCATGCAACTATTACCAATGATATTGCTACATGCCAACCCAAAAGACCACTACCGAAAATTAAGCTTCCTCAGTTGAAATCTTCACACTTGCTAGTTAACGTCAAGTTTATGAAGTTGTGAAAGTGATTTGACTCCACAAATAATATTCGAAGTTGTTGTGATGGTGTGCTATAACTACTATCCAATCATTATGGAGCGACAATTGCGGCATTGTAGCTGCCATCCAAGCACTATGGATGGAACACTGTGGATGTGAATATATTGAAGGTAGTTGAAATGTGCCTTGCTCATTATGTAAGTACTGGATTTGAATGCAATACTTTTTTTTGCTATTCATCTCAAGAACAAGAATTATAGGGAGGTAGATTGGGATGTGAGAGTTGCAATTCAATTATATGGCTTATTTAGTAGGAAAAAAATCTCAATTCACAATGATTTAGAAATTATCAGCTGCAATTTTTTAAGGAAATTTTAAAAGTATAGATTCTATTAGAGCCCAACAAGCCCTAGATTTTTAGGATTTTTGTCTTCTTCATCCCAAATCAAAATTCCAACCTAATATATTATCTTCACTATCCACTCAATCCTAACCCTGAACCACCCTTTTCTCTTTGCTGAAATTTTAGGTGGAAGAAAGAAACACCATGTTTCCAAGAAACCCGCAACGAGGTGTCCATGAGTTTTCTATGGAATATTTGCGGCAAAAGATCCTCGAATTGTAGTAAAGTCATTGATTTTGAAAGAAGACAACATATAGACGTCACCCACATTAACAATAGTGACCACCCAGACAAAGAAGCTGAAGAAACTCTCTCAATCAAGAAGCTTCGAGTGGACGAGACATTATCACATCGATTTGGCATTGAATGTGGATTTATCGTATTTCGACGGTTGCATGGATCCGATTGAGTTTTCTGAATGACTTTAAACGACAAAATAGGTCTTTTAAGTACAATGATGTCCCACCTGTCAGATGGTAAAACTAGTCGCCCTCAAGTTGAAGAAGACTATCTCTATAGTGGCAAAATTTAAAAAGCTTATGCCAACATTAAGGAAAAAACAAAATTTTTACTTAATTCAAGATGAAAAAGGAGATGCAAAGCAAATATCTACTAGCCCATTACAGATGCTCTTAAGACTTCACCATTTGCAACAACAAGATCTCTCGGTAAAGGAGTACGCCGTTGAGTTCGAGTAGTCAATGTTGAAGTGTGAGCTAGTGGAATCAAATGAGCACACAACATTAAGGTATTTTAGAGGACGGAGATCGTCTATTAATAATGTGGTAAAGTTGCAGCCATATTGGTGATTGATTTACAAATCCTAGTTTTAAAGGTGAAAAAACATCACTAGGTGCCCGCCACATCTTACAGACAAATTTCAACCCCAATATTTTATAATGAAGTTACACTCGGTGGAGCATCCAAGCTGACCTCGCCGACTGAAAACCCTAATTCAAAATGGAGAAAAAATGGAGACAACTATCACTCTTAAATTTGTCACAGCAAGGGAGTGCCTCAAGTGCTACAATTTTGGGAACATTATATTTGATTGTGTGAACAGGAGGTCGATTGCTACGTTGGTGCCTAGCCTAAGGGCAAATTTGTCTTTTGTACGCCTAAGATCAATTCAGTCTTTTATTATTATTATTGTTGGGTATAACTAGGCATGTTATGTCTAGGGTTAAGTTTATACATGAGATTAGATTGTTAGTCTTAGGTTTTGGTTTTGGGAGAGATTTCCTACCTCTGAATTGTAGGAATTGAGAGTGATCACCTACCTCTTGAATTGTAGGTGCTTTGCTTTGTATTATTGTTGAGTTGTTTGAATTATTGAAGAAATAATTTTGTTTGCCCAAATTTTTTTTCTGAAAAATCGTAACGATTTCTGTCTCGAATTGTGTCAAATTGGTATCAGAGCAAGATTTCTGGGTAACAGTACTTGGAATCATCGTACAATTATGGGGAAGGCGGTTGCAGTAAAGTAGGACAGTTACAATTTTATCAGGCAGGTATCGCTACATAGGGAAGGATCACGACATACAGACGATTCCATGACTTCACCTCGTTAAACAATCGTGCTTGGAGCTAACTGGGAATAATTGCAGCTTACTGAGGCCCAAAACTCTCGTACAGTCATGTGCAAGCGGGCACAAAGGATTGGTCTTGGACACTTCCCATACCAATCCTTCGATTAATCCCACGTGCTTGGAATCGTCATACAGTTGCGAGGAAGGCGGTTGCATTAGAGCAGGACAATTACAATTTTATCAGGCAAGTATTGCTACGTGGAGAAGGATCACGACATACAGACGATTCCATGACTTCACCTCGTGAAACAGTCTTGATTGGAGCTAACTGGGAATAATCATAGCTTACTGAGACTTGAAACTCTCATACAGTCGCGTGCAAGGGGACACGGAGGTTGGTCTGGGACACTGGTGTAGGGATCGACATACAAAGTCCTGAAATTTCCGATATAGTCTAGATCAGAGCTACCTGGGAAGGCATGGAAAGCGGCATCAAAAGACCTGAAACTTTCAATTTTCTCTTCCTCCCACCCGTCTACTCGATAGTGTCGCTATCAGAGCTATCTAGGAAGGCAACGACTGGGAAGCAGCTTATAAAGACGCAACACTCCCAATTTGCTCTTGTTCCTGTTATGAAACTCCCATCTCTCTCCCGTTCTAGCTCTTCCCTCACGCAACAGTCGCAATTCCAAGCTATTTGGGAAGATGGGACCGTAATTGCCAAATAATTGCGATTGGAGCTATTAGAAATCCACGACCGGATTAGTGTGATCCAGGATCACAGACTTGCAGAACAGTCGCTCAATCTGTCTCATCTCAAAGCAGACGATGGATTTCAACATATAAAAATTGGCTTTTGTTTTTATAAAAAATAAATTCTGCGAAGAATGACATCCGAAAAAGTAGATTTGAAGAAAAAATTAGAGGAAGAGATCAAGCCAAATCAGTTCTAGGATGGAAGAAATGTTCGCCACCATAGAGGATAGATTCTCCTCTATGAAGAACTAACTGGAGGACCTATTCGAG